CCTTCCTGCTCACTAGTCACTGTCTAATGACTAATGTACTGTAATAAGTACAGGTTGTGCAGCAGACAAATCACCGCAGAAATATTCCAACGTGATCTGGATGCAGAGTTAACAAGCAGTATTTGTCAGCAAAACCGTCTCGACGTCGAGAGGAATATTTCTGCTGGATTAAAGAGATGTATTCACAAGCCTGCTTGTTTAGAATGTAGTAAGGCCGCAAAACCACACTAGAAATTTTGTTGCCTTGTTCTGAACTGCAAAACATGGCTCTGTGCATACCTGGAAATTCCATCTATTCTGCGATGTAAACTGGAGTGTTTTACAAGTTACTGTGTACATTTTACCGTTAATGCGCATCAATGCTGATTCTTTCTAACCCGGAAGTATAAAAATAAGATTGCAGTTCCCCTTTAAAGGACTTTAAATTTCCCAGCAAAACTCAACAAGAGCCGGAGTGATCTTGATAGCCGTGCCGGGTCTCACCTGTCAGGTACATCTCCTCGCCCTCCGTGAACATCATGTGACAGCGGGCGCAGCGCGCGCACGTCGGGTGGTAGTGCTTCCCTCCGGCCTGAGAGAGACACCCGGGTGAGAGAGTTGTGAGGTGAAGTGCGACGGCGAGGCAGAGGGTGAACAAGGAGAAAGCAAGGCAACAGGTCGAAAAGATGTTGGAGGAAGAAATTAAACACAGATGTTCCGTTTAGACATTGTGAAAGCTAAATCGAATCTGCGTTCATGAAGTGTAGACTTTGACCGAAAGGTTCTACTTGTAAGCCTCAAATCGTTGCTGGCTTCACACTTTTTAATGGCTCTCTATTCAGTGGCTTCTAATTGCTGCTGTTAAGCATTGATGTTAACAAGCCGGGCTTAACGGGAAAAAACAAAAAGGTACCACATCTGCTAGTTTCCCCCGAACACGAGCAGCACACCGTTCCTTTGCCTCTTTAAAAGGCTGTGCCACTCCAGGTTTTAGAAGTGACAGCCCTTTGCACGAATGTCAGTTCACACCTAGTGTGTGCAGCTAGGCTGGGTGTGTGCTTGGAACACCCAGCACCCAGTGTCTAGAGAGGAGCCTGCTGCCTGTAATTCCTGGCCTGGCTCAAACTGCTCTGCAGCAGGAGTCGGATTCCCAGCCGTGCTCTGTGCAACGCATCACGCGTGCTGCTTGTGCCGCCTCGCGGAGCTGCCTCTCGGTGTGCACCGATCCCCCCTCCGGGAACTGGCCTGCTACTGCTCTGGCACGAAACCTAGTCTGGGCAAGAACACTTCAGACACAGAGCTGGCTTCTCACAGGAATGTGGCATCCAACAAAACAAGACAAGCAAAAGACTTGGAGCCTTTTACTTTAACGACTTCTTCCAGTGTCCAAGACAACACAGTTTTAGATTTTTCAAATCGCCTTTTCCTGCAAAGCTGCAGAGCATGCACAAATACCAACACATTTCTGGAGTCTGCAGAGACAGCACTGACACCACAGCGCACAGATCTTAACCAAAAAGGAATGAATTTTATTGGCAGAAGTAGCTCACCTTATTTGAAGCAGGTGCAGGTACTTTTAGAAAGCCGTTTTCATTGTATTCTCCTATGATTGAGTGCCTTTTTTATTGTACTGTACTTCAAAATGCTATTCCCATGACACATAAGAGTGTATTGGCACTTACAGACTGTAATCTGCGCTGTTTTATGGTCCTCATCAATCTACATACAAAAAAAGAGTCTACTCCAGGACTTCCACTGCAATTCAGGCATAATGCGGGGATCAAAATTCATCTCATCTGGGGATGTTATTTTCCAGCTTTCTGGGATGTGAACGGGGTTCACATACTATATGAGCAGGAGGAGAGGGTTAAACTGAACTACGTGGTTCATTACTGGCCAGAGAAGGAATAAAGGAGGACTGTGAGACCTACACAAACACTCCTGCCCTCACCTGCTTCAGGAATTCCAGCTTTAGCAGGAATTCAGGTAGACGAAAAATGTATATATACCCTAGTAAACTTGAAATCTAGCTATTTTGCAGCAGTAAAACTGTCAGGTTTGCAAGTGTACTGGGTAGTAGTCTCTCTATAACAGCAGTGAATCAAGTTGTAGATTTTCTGCATTCCTACAGTATGTTCATCTTTCTCACTATACATACTATGGTAAGAACCACATAAAATGTAGCAAGCTACAGGAACATGCTAAAGCTACAGTATGTGCCTGGCAGAAGCACAGAAAAACTACACCATGCAGACGTGCTGTGCTAGACCTCCATAAAAGGAGACGTCTTGCTCTGCTGCAGGTTATTAGTGTAATAACATTTTATTTGCAGTGTTCATCTCTTCTCTGAAGGGGACAAGGCTTTGGCTGAATGAAAGTCTGCAACAATAGCAACTCCGATGAAAAAAGGTTCCTCAGTCTCTTCAATCTCAATCTCATTTCCTTGCTGACACACATGTTCGGGCACCAGAGGAGTGATTGTCCTTCAAGGGTGGGGGGGGGGGAGAGATTAACCCATGGCCTGACATTGCTCTGACAGCCTGATGTTCATAGGAGAGCATTACCAGGATGTGCCAGAAATTGCTTGTCATCTGTTAACCATGTAAATGGCCAGACAGCCTATTCATTTTCAGGAACAGAGCATGCAATGGATGTCACTTGTGCAGGAGTGGGTGGCTTCACTGTCACACAGAAACAATACTGCCAGAGACAGGCCAGCCAGCTCCCCAATATGTGTCAAAGACGCCATACTGCACTTTATATCACAGCGTAATATAACCTTCTCTGTTAAGACTTTAAGAAAGAGAAAAAGACATCTTTCTGTCTGCAGATAAAATGTGGAATATAAATCTGCATTAAAACCTTGTCTATAAATACAACAGCAACTTTTATATATGATGATGTTGGTGAACTTTAATGTATGGTGATGTGCTGGCTGCAGGTAGGAGAGTGCTTTTGCTTGGACAGAAACACATGCAGCCCCGTCCAAATTCCAGGAGTTCCCCTACATTCCAGTTGTGTCGTCTCTTCCTGATCCTGTCTAATGGAAGTCCTGTGTAATGGCATGGTGGTGCAGTGGTGAGCATCGGGCCCTGGGTTCAATTCCTGGGGTTCTGTCTGTGTGGAGTTTGCATGTTCTCACAGTGTTTACTCCAGGTGCTCTGGTTTCCCCCCACAATCCAAAGACAAGCTGGTAGGTTAATTGGCTTCTGGGAGATTTGGACCTGGTGTGAGCGTGTAAAGTGTCTGTGTGTGCCCTGTGATGGACTGGCGTCCTGTCCAGGGTGTATCCTGCCAAGTGCCTGTGGCTTGATGGGTTAGGCTCTAGCTTCCCCATGACACTCTACTGAATAAAGCAGTTTAGAAAATGTATGGATGAAAATCCTATGGATTAACCTTTAGGATTTTGGACACCTGAATGAGGTCCTCTCGGAGTCTTCTCTGTTCGAGAGTAAAACGATTCAGTTTTTTAGGCTGCAAAAGTAGGACACATCTTTATAATGTATTTTGTAATGTGTGGACTAAAACTGGACTTCATACTCCAAGTGAGGTCTTACTAACGCATTGTACAATTTTAACATAACTTCCCTCGATTTAAATTCTGGACTTACAACTACATACTGTACTGTATCTTAACATTTTGCCTTTTTTATTGCTTTCCCTCACTGTCTGAACACCTTAGTCTCTTTATAAGTATTTTCTTTCCACTGAAGTATTCAATTCAGTGTCTCCTGTCTTATATTAATAGCATCTGCTACCCGCATGCAATACTTCCACTTGTCAATGGAATGTCATGGGCTTGCTGCATGAATTTCCTGTCTCAAATTGTTTAGAATTCTTCGACAGTGTTTGCAAATCCTCCTATTTTGCTATCACCTGCAAACCTGACTCTCTCACTAACTGTACCAGAACGTAGATCGTTGCAATTAGGAAGAACAGCAGTCCTCTTACAGATGCCTGTTGTATGCCGCTAATTCTGTTACCCCCATCTATACAGAAGCACTTTGATAAAGGTACCCTGCTTTTATCCTTTGATAGAGGAAACCCTGTGGGGTTTGAACCTGGGGCCAGTCAGTGCTTCAGACTGTGCTCCCTAGATGTTCTGTGGTCTGAAAGGAGGGGGGCATGGTACCCCTCTGACCCTCTGCAGAACTCATCTCTCACAGTGCATGCAGACTCTCATGGTGTATGGAAAACAAGATCACGCAACCTGTAGACAGAATATAGGTGCCGCACAGGGGCTCTGATATGTCCGATGTACTGTAGGAAGAGTGACCTGCGCATTATTTATCAGAAAGAAAATCCACAGCACCTCAGTCCCATTAAAGGCTTGTGCGTGCGCCTTTACTGTACAAGTTTAATCCTGCATCAGGATTATTCTGTTTTCTTAGGCTGCCCACAAAGGAGCTTATGCAAATAGTTTGAAATGCAGAAGACGCTTTGATGCATCAACATGAGAAATTGCATTTTAGCGTCCCTGTCCTCCCAGGACAAATGATGTAGAACCCTTGTGATTTGTATCTATCCAACGTACTGCAAGGCAAGAAAAACAAAATGTCACAGAGTATCACAGAAGCCAGCTGTAAGGGATTTATGCTCTCTGTGTCCCGATCAGACGCGTCCTGCTTGCGGGACTTCAGAAATCCACTGACATGTGTTTGGAGTCAGTGGAAAGACTGCAGGAGGAGCACTGGCTTTCTCCCACATGGACGCAGGAATCTGGCCCTGCAGGCAGCTGGTTTCCAGACCACCCTGCTCCACCGCTACAGCCTGAAACTCTCTTTGATGTGGGAATGGAAAGAATCGCTTTGAGCTGTGCAGCACTAAGCCAGGAGAAAGAGACAAAGGAATGCGCTGCAGCCCTGAATACCTTCAAAGGCCGTTATGTTTTTGTGGCGGAGCTGGAGGTAAACTCACTGTTAAAGGCTCGGCGTCCATGTCCGCGCCCCAGAACAGCAGCAGACCGAGACGGGGAAACTGTACGGAGCCAGAGCACGCAGGGCCCTTCCTCTAGGTGGTGTCTTGAGGAGAGGAGATACACGCACGATGGGCATGTGCCAACCTGATATGGGCAAGTCGAAACCTGATCGCTGGCCAGGCTTCAAGAACGGACAATGCAAAACTCGAAGGGAGCAAAACAAGCCTTTCTTGATTTCCTGAGGAAGCTCGCTGCTTACTGATGAGAGGCTCATTTCCTGTCGCCATGACCACCGCTGACAGAACTCGCATAGATTCACCCTCAACATTTCTTCAACAATAAAAAACCTCTGTGCCTGCGGACGCTGTAGAGGACCGGCGCAACCACTCATCTTCCTGGCAGGGTAGATGAAGGTTTCCTGGTTCAAAGACAGATTCGTGCCGGAAGCTAATTAAAAAGGCCGCGTGGAGGGATACCGACTGAGCCAAGGCAAACGTTTCGCGACGTGCTCGAGGGGGCCCGGCAGCTGTCGAGTCCCCGGGCGCTGCAGGAGCCCACCGGGCGGCTGAGGCGTGGCGCGATGACAGCCGCGGCAGGGGCGTGCTCCATCGAGGAGGAATACAGATCAGAGCTGTCACGCTGTCGCCAAGTGAGAGGTCCCCAGAGGGGACATT